ATACCAGAGATACGATTTCATTATTCAAGGTGTAGTCGACGGCAACAAAGTTTTTCTTGATTTCGCCGCAGGTTTCCCTGGGAGTCTACATGATGCGAGAGTATTACGCAACACTTCTATTTACAGGAGAGCTGAGAACAGTGATGTACTGAACGAGCCATTATATCACATTGGAAATAATTCTATAAGACCCTACCTCGTTGGTGACAGTGCTTACCCTCTCTGTGGGTGGATACAAAAACCATACCCTGAAGCTACCAGAGATGCAGACGAGATAACTTTCAATAAAGAGCTTTCTAGTGCACGTGTTATGGTAGAATGCTCGTTTGGTATCCTGAAAAGCCGTTGGCGAATTTTATCCAAAAGGTTGGATAGTGATATTGATTTTGCAATCAAGTGCGCAGTTGCTTGTGCAGTGCTACATAACTTTTGTATTTTAAATGGAGATGATTGGGACGATGATGGCGACGACGATACTGATGATGATGACGGCAATCATAACAATGGTGTAATGGATGATGGAGATACAATTTTTACCTTTGAAAGTTTGTTGAGATTGGACAAAATTTGTCAAGTCGCAACAATTCGGTCGCATTAGAAAACTGTATTTGATGACAGATATTTTGGTTAAACAAACAGATTACAACAGTTTTTTTGTCCAGTGCGACCCGGGCCTAAGCTCCGAATAAGATCATCTCTAGCTGATTGGCCAAAATCAATATATTAATTTTTATAACAATTACTGTAATTGGCCCATTCCAATTTTTTTGAATGCGGATCATTTCTGATAATAAAGTTCATAAGTCGGACCTGTGAGAGAAATAATCGACAGAGAGGGAACTGGTACCGACTTATGGAATCAATCTAGGGTTCTAATAAAACGTTGACATTTTTAGCACATATTTGACTGAGATATATGCAAAGGTCTAGGGTCATKTAATGTGCAGGCCTTCTCAGGGCAGTCAAAAACCACTCAAAATTTACGGCAAAGTTTTGATGATTCAGGAAGATTTTAGGCAAATCTTCTAGGCAAATTACAAATTAAAGAAAAACACCAAATATAAAAAGAACAGAAAAACTAGATCTGTCAGTTAGTCAAAGAAGACAGGTCAACAGATGACTGCCATCTTTCTTTACCCTAAACGATCATCCCCTGTATATGTTTTGACCTCTTATATAAGAAATATTTGACCATAATCAATGACAAGCCTTGAGCCCYTTCACAGCCAAGATGTCAATGTCTTAAGGTAAGCTGGTTATTTGGCTCATGTTTCCTTGATTGCACCATCTCAGAAATGGTAATAATTAAGACACATTATCAATAARCCATTGTTCTATTATTGTATTTGTGATGCTTACATAGCGGTAGTAATATCAAAGAAGAGTTATTTTCCATGTCTGCAAAAACAAAATGCTTAACAAGTTTTGTATTTAAAGAACAGCTATCCAGGGGAAGAAGATTAATAAATATTGTGGTCAAGAAATGCTTTTTTATTCATTAAGTATTAATTTTGTAGTAAATATAAATGTTAATAATTACATTATGAGCTGTTATCATATCCCCCCCCACCGTTTCCGTCACCCCTACTAACCACACTGTTCTTTTATAGATGACAGTCAATAACTCTAATAATGTCAGAATCCTCTTTGTTCACACTTATATTAGAAGTATATTTGCAAAATATAAAATCTGATTTAGTAATAAAAACCAAATGCTTCTAAGATTAAAACCACTAAAATACAACAGTCATTAGTGTAAATAGCACTATTTCAACAAAAAGAAAACATTTTGACATGAATTATGAATTATGTAATGATTTCAGAAATATATTATTAGTAATAAAACCATTTTGGGTTGTTTTGTAGTCTGCAATGTATTACAGGTTTTGAAAAAAATTCAATGAATAGGTTTTAATTGTGTTTCCACCGGCCATATTTTATTACCTTTGCAGAGGCTAATGCTGATCTATAATATATATTATAAGGAATCCCTTTTTGCCTGATTCTAAAGAGGAGGACAACAAAACTATGTATTCATTGTGGACATATGTTTCAACTGTTTTTATAGAAGAGAGGGGGGACTATAGCTTTATGATAAAGGACCCATAAAGATTCTTTATATCCTGTATGTGTTCTTCTATTCCAAGGCAAGAAACATTCTGACATTGATGTCATTATACTGTCATTACTTTCTGACTGCATTCTCTAGCATTAAACCTATAAAAGCTGATATGGTTAATATACCGTTTGCAGCTGGTGGTCATGTGACCACAACTACCTTAAATCAATCAGCTATCAAAAAATGATGTTCGGAAATGGAAGAGCAGGTTTATGTTGGTAAAATGTTTCAACTCTAAATACTCGAAAATACCTCAAGAATGTACAATTTTACATCTGGTGTTCTGTGCCATCGTCAAACAGGTGTACCTTCTAATGACACTTCATATTTTTGGATTTGTCTAAAATTTTATAAAATATATTTTCACATTCTATCAGGAAATAGTGCTATGATAGTTCTACTTTTTATACTGGGAAAGATAATATACTTGATCTTTCAGCTCACATTTTAAAGGTTAGAATCATCCATCACTTGTCGCAAGTTAAAATTATCTTTGGCATTTCTACGCGAACATTCAAGCGAAAATGTGAATAAATGCAATTAGACAAAAGAATAATGTGAGCAAAGAAAGATTCATGCGAATTCCGCAGAGACAGCGGTCTCTACATGTATGACAATCTGATTCAGTTGGCTTGTTGTGCACAGCTGCATGCAAGTTGTACTGGAGTCTTCTTTCCTGCGAGTAGTCCTGGAGCGATTTGAAAGGAGGGCAGTACTGGACTTCCTTTTAAATCAGTTTTATATAGCGCATGTTTACTTTCACGGAGTCATACAGTTTGATGTGATAAAATGTAGATATTCTCGAAGTGGTGAAAACCATGCACATGGCGGATTCAGTTGAACGGATAACAAGTTAGCTGTAATTCCATTTTCAAACTCACTATTAGATGTTAAAACAGTTAGCCAGATTGGAGATTCCTGTCAGCAGGTTCACCAAATAAAGATTCAAGGCAACTCCGTACAACAAGCAATACATTTTCAACTACAAGTATTTAGCTAAAAAAGCTCAGCAATTGTATTTTGTTTCCTTGCCCTTMTGTAGTCTAAAAGTGATTTGATTGGCTTAAATGTTTTGGGAATTATAACKAGCAACGTGATTGGATGTAACCTTAAAGTGTCGACGYGGATCAAAATAATCTAGATTGTGCGATAAGTCGRAGARTRAGCGACAAAATGTAACCGTGCGTGAACTGGGACCGACTTATGGAATTATTCTARAGCGTATTCCAACATTAACATAAAAAGAAAAGACTTATAGAAGAAATCTAACTTAACCTGCTAAGTAAATATCGTGAAACATTGGTTTGCCAATTTCCTAAATATTACCAATTTTCTCAAGTTTCAACCGATGTGAATAGTCTGTTCATAGATGCCATGTCCTCAGTTTCCCCATTCTTCATATTGCATAAGTTCATTTTCCTTAGAACCTCCATGTTTTCAAGAATTTCAAATGGACGATCAAATGTAAAAAGGTATTCAATCCTGCAAAATAMATATATGTATGTTAGAATAGTACTAATCGTTGTAAAGTAAACATGTATTGTATTTGTGTATGTATATAAACCAGAATCGTGCAATTGAAGTCAGTTGATATCATCTTAGCTGGACATTTGAACGTAACGATCTATACTATGTAAATTGCACCAAAACATCAAAAAATGTATATTTATGCATGGATATATGATTCTTGTATAATGATACCCTACTGTGAAAGACCTAAGGGCAAGGAGGTTTATTTCATAATGTATTGATATCATTGAAAAAAGAAAGGTTTATGTTGACATTAGCTAGGAGGGTTTAAAATTCGCTGAAAAAGAGAAATATAAGGATTTCTTAATTGTACTAGATGGGATAATCCTAGTTTGGTAATACTGAGAGGTTCCTAATACACTTATAGATAAGGCTCACCCATCAGAAGAAACATTGCATTCYATTTTGGTGTTCTTATCCGTCCTGATCACAATGAAGGGAAGATTTACAATTCCTTGTTGCTGTTCCTTTACCTCCTTCTTTTTTATGTTGAGCAATCTCTTAAAGGAAATTGACTGGAAGACAAATATAGCAATTTAGAGGTATGCTTTTAGGGTTCTTGTTGACAAATTTTGCAGTATTTGCAAACTAAATTACCCAGCGCGGAACAATGCGTTTCCTGGAACGCACCATTTCATAAAGACAACGATTGGGTTTTTGGAATGCAGATAAACGTTCCATTTGGAGTATGCCATATCGCGATAGTTCTCCTACTTGTGCTAAAAGGAGAAAGCGGCTAGAAAGTAATGATATATAAATATCAGGGATGTTAATTGAAAGTTTAAAGATTGACATGTCTTTACTAGAATAACAGTTTCCAGGAAAGGTTTACTCTTCACTTGTTTTCTTGTACTGGCTACGTTTTCAAGATCAAACTGTAGAGAGTCATGTTGGGCGTTATGCAATGATGTAGATTCCATGATGGCTTTGTTGTGCTCTGTTTTTCTTGTCTTCAGAGATCGCTCTGTCTGCTCGTAGAACGTTGCATCACATTCACAAGATTACATGGGCTTCCMATGGAATAAGATCATGTCTTAAAATGCTACTGGTTTTTCGTTTTGTTGTTGTGAATTTTTGTTTCAATATGGTAGCGGCCGCGATTAATTCGAAAGTCTGAAGTCTCTGTTTCCATAGCGATCTTGAATCAATATCCGGTTGCTGTAGTCGCAGCGGCGTGATTTAGCAATATCTGTTAACAAAAGGCTCGCAAAATTAAAAGCTATCGAGCAAGCGATCGAAGAGGAGAAAAACTTCGAAGGAAGCGAAATTTCCAGAATTTTTAAACTCGTAGCACGATCAGAGGAATTCAGACTGGGTAAATGCCGGCATACCACGTCTAGTAGCGTTACATCGGGACGATACCGAAACGCAAATAAAATCACCGCAAGTGTCAGCGCCAATCAACGAATTTCTGTTTAACAGACATCCAGAGTAGAGATACTGCAGGTGTAAATTTAACTTAGCCTCGGCCCCATCCAGGAGTTTAGAGACTAAGCACCTTTTGTAAAATGAGGGTGGTCCCAATCACTGCACACGTCTGCATACCACCCAGAACATCTGGGATACCTAAAACGTTTAGGTATCCCACAAACGTACTCGACACGACCTCAAGACAACCAACAACAACCTTTGTTCATACCCGGTGCATGTTTTGTTGATACCCGGTGCATCTTCCTTACCTCCTTTGCCAAAGGTGCATACTTGGCAACCTTTTCATTCTCCTTCAACACCACGTTCTTGTCCCAAGGCACCGAGAAATCAACAAACGTCCACTCCTGGGCCGCCCGATTCAACACAGTAACATCCGGAGGATTATGTTCCATCGTTTGTGTTGTCTCGACGCCCCTGTCCCACCAAATCTCTACCTAACCATCCTCTGACACCCTTACCTCATCAGGTACATCCTTATACCAAACATCAGCACACTTCACTCCATACTTCCTACACAGTTCCCAATACASYCTCAAACCCATTCTATCATGCCTCCTCCTGTATTCCTTTTGAGCTAACCCTATTTGTTCTTGAACAAATTGTTCTGTCTAACCCTAGTAGTGCAACTATCCACATATCCCAGAATCTTCAAACTTCCTGACTGAAACTTGCCTTTCAACAATGTAGCCACTGTAACTGCTCCTTTCTCAATGATATCATATCTCCTGACCAGTCGATCCATCACTTTGCTCCAAAGCACCTTACGCTTTCTAAACTCTTCTACTCTTGATAAGTCTTTCCGCCTGACAATACTGCTTTAATCCTCCTCTCAATATAATAATAATCAACTTTATGTGTCATAGATTGTTCTAGCTTACAATAGTAAGGCCAATTGGGGACACCTATTTAAGCTAGTTATGATAAATAAATTTATAAAAAGCAAATATATACTACAATTCAGTCCCTCCCCATGAATACCCATACAAATGTACTAGTGTGTACTAGTGAATTATTTGTTTATATTTAAAAATATGAAAGAAAACAGAAAAAGTAGTTAACAGGAACACAAAAGACAATTTTTACAGTTAGCATTAAATAGCCCTTTGGTCTAGTTTTTAGCTTAAAAGAGAAGACGATCTTACTCCATTTCGTATTACTACTTAGATGTAGAACTGTTTAAAACTTCGATCAATTCTCGCAAGTTCAGCGATTTTAAAATTAATTGCTTGATAGCAAGTGAGTTGATTGGATCCCGATAAATATATGTTATATATGTTTACCTGGCTAGCCAGTGTTTCCAGGGTATTCGTCTTTTCTCGGATGCGTTCCTCMAGCTTTTGTTTTTGG